AGTTGCAAGCTTCATGCGAGTTGGTACTCAGGCCGACCGAATTGTCGGGCTCAGCTATATGTCTCCGACGGTGGAGATGATCAGCAGGACGCATACTTACGTGGGAGTGGATGCCTTGCTGACCCGGTGTCAGCACATCGGAGCCCGAAAGTAAGGCTACCGTAGTTCTTTCGGCCCGATAGAAAGACAACTGCCGGTGTTACGAACCCGGCGGGGTGCCACGGATGCACAGCATCTGTTACCGATAATCGCCAACCGCGCGGTACGCTCAATTTGGAAGGAGTTGCAAAAGCTCGCCAATGGCGTATGGATAGGTATCGTATGTGAGCATGAGCTTCGGGATTGACATGCGACTACTATTGGCCGTGATATGTAATCAGATGGCACGGCAGTTGGGTAGTCAACATCTATTTGTCACTTTCCCAGCAACTCAACCGCGGAGTAAGATTAAGAGAGCGACACGGCATCGCTTGATGCTGCCTCATGTACCGCCCCATCGACCGGAGTTCCAACGGGCCGCCGGACCCCACTTGACCCACTGCGGCATGCAAGAGGGTGCCTAGCTCCCGTCTTACACGCCGCCCTAGCGACTGCCTGAAGGTTAAGGCCAAACGAGTGCATGCAGCTTGTAGGGCTGGGAATACCGTCCGACCCACTCATTCCGGAAAGATATACTGTTCACAGCGCAAAGCTGAACGGCATGTACGCAGCATCGTACGCGTGACTGTAGCCTGCAGCATGCGCCAGCTGTTTGGCTACCCGCGCGCTGCCGTATAACCGGTTTTGCCCTATAACCCCGCGCGACGTGGGCACAATGTCGCTTATTGCCTTATTATCAGATTGGCCCTACGTCGCGTCTTGGTAACTGAGCATAGGCAGGTCTTACCACCACGTATCTGCCTATTTGGCTGCGATAGGCCACACACGTCTGATGGCGTCGGTAAACGAGATACTCCGCGACAGATGAGTGAGGCAGCCATCTCACTACGGGTCTGACAGTGACACTTGCGTCTCCCCGCACGATCAATTGGTTGCTATTCTCGTGGCAATAAGCCCATCCAGACTGACCAATCATCCCCGCGCTAAGACATTCATATCGGTGAGCGACGCGACACGGCTGAAGATACGGCTGAACGGGCTACGAAGCCTGCTGGCCGATAGTACAGTGACCAGAAGTCTGAGATCGGTTGGCTAGCAGCTGGCAGTCGCTCGCGAAAGGGATGAAGACTGGAATGTGGCATGGGTGAAAGGGTCAATTCCAGATTGGTGTGCTGGTACGAGCGCGGCCGAAAGGCTTGCGGCTCTGCTATATATCGACTGTTGATTGGTGGATAAGATAAATCATGAGATATGCCTGCAAAGAATGTGTGACTCATGACCAGATGCAGTTGCAGGAAGGCTTGCAGGACATGTGCATATTACCAGGGTATGCGTTTGTACCCCCAAGTGGTGGCTCAATACATCCATGTCGTGGCTGAATCATCGTCAACCTTGGAGAGAAAGTTCTACCGCGGCTGAGTCCGCGACAAGACATATGGGAGAGAAGCTGTTGGTCAAGAACAACAAGCGTGTCCAGTGCATCAATGGTGGCAAAAGGTAGAGATCTGTCGCTTCACATTGCTTCTCGAGATACCAATCGTCGTGTTGCTAGTATGCTCGCGCCTTAGTAGAATCTCGGATCAAACCCATCTATCAGACCTTTATAGTATACCCAGACCGCTGGCATTAGAGTTGGGTTAGTCGTCATCGTTGTGCTCCGATGGAAACTCGTGCACTGTTGGCAAATTGTGTTCTGGTTCGAGCTGTGCTGGTCGAATTGGGGCAGTTTCCACAGTGGAGAAATTGGACGACCTCGGTTCTAGCCATGCATCCTCATCCGGCCAGGGGTGAGTATCACGGCATTCGGGATCACATGCCCCGTGGTAGCCGAGGATCTGAGGGTTCAACACGCTCTCCTCAATCTCGGCCGAGCCCTTGTCAAAAGGATCGCTGTGTCGAAAAATATCGTGTGGCCATTGCTTGAGCACTGACGTCGCCCAGAGTGTTGGCTCTGATGTGAGCTTGGTGATATGCCTGTGAAGCGTGTAAATCTCGCGAGGCGAGACGCGGAGGTGATGTAACATCCAGCGATTCACCCGGTCGGGTGTGCTCTCAAAATTGACGAGATAATCGCTGAGGATAGCTCTTGTCTCGTTGCTCTCGTCGAGTAAGAGTAGAGGATTTCCTTCGTCGAGACCTGGGTTGACCGGGAAGTCGTTCGTCAAGTCCGGTAGCGCACCAGAGATTTCGATATAGTTACTACCAAAGGCCGCTTTCTCATGCTTATACTGGTTCTGGGGTGTTGCACCAGTTCCAGTCAAATCGATCTTATCTGTTATCCACACTCCGATAGATCCAAGCGTACCGGTCATATCGCCGAAAGAAGCGCCCTCATCTGCGAGAGTAGTGTTGCTAGGTTTGGGCAAATCAATTGATCCCAACGATGCGCTTCTTCTATGAGACTCTCCACGCACCCAGCGTTCCTGAACTCTTGGTCTGAACTCCCTGACGTGGCTCGGATGCTGGCCAATACCAACGTTTTCTCCAATGAGAGCTCCGTGAAGATGCTCGATACCTCCAGGAGTGACATTTTCCTCGATGACAGAGCTGGCCGATGAAGCCTCATATTCGATTTTAATCGGCTCTTTCGACTCACTGGTCGGGGTTATGTTGAGTCTGAAAAAATGCTCGAAGGTTTCTTCCATCTTGGAATACATATCTACCAGCTGATGTTCCTTCGACCCGAGCATTATCTCAAGAGGTTCGTATTCCGATTCAACCGGGCCAATCTCGTCTCTTGCCGCCTGCGATGCTTCAAAGTACTTGAGCATAACGCGTTCGTTTACAGAAAGACTGCCATTCATTTGCTCGCGCATACAATTGATGAGTAGCATATCACATCTGGAGACGTGTTCCCTCAGTGTATGCAGCTGCTTCCGTCTTTCTTGAACAGCAAGGCGCATTGCGACTACTTCTCCTTGCTGGATGACAAAGTCGGAGAGTTCGTTCATGAAGCTGGTATACAATCGGAAGGCCGCCGCGTTCAAATGTTTGTTTGCTTCAAGAGCCTTATTGAACAGGGACGGGGGTCGAGGGGCTTCCAACGGTGGTGGCGGTGGTGGAGGCGGAGGCGGCGGTGGTGCGGGCAATGGGAGGGAGATAGATTTCGGAGAACCATTGTCGTCTACAACTAGCTTTTCGCCGTGGAAACCCACTGATGCAGATGGGACGGGCGATCTTGGATGCACAAGCACATTCTCGTCCGGGATGCTATCCTCCTCATGAGGCCCGCAAGCCTCATCAAAGCGCACTTTCTTGAGGATTCCTTTCCGGGATTTGCAGACTAAACATGGTGAAAGAAGGTCCGGTATGAGCCCTCTTGATATTCCGTTGCTGGAAGATCTGATCTCATGATCATCAAGTGGCTCATAATTTGCTCGATCAGCACATTCGTCATCGAAGAATTCCGCGATGAGCTCGGAGCTTTTTGATTCCATCGGCTCAGCCTGTGGGTGTCAATGTGTACCCTGCCCCTTCCACGATGCATTGGTGTACCGTTGATTTCTCGACAACACTGGAAGGAGCCTGCATAACGGCCGTGCGCTCAGCGCAAAGTAGAATCTCTAACAAGGTGTGACATGTGAGAATCGACGCGCTCAGTAACAGATCTTAGGATTCGTAGTATCTTTCAATGATGCCTGATTAGGGAAGCAGCGCAACAGAGTTGTGATGGTTGACTAGAGGCTGCGGTGGACCTGCCACCCAGGCGTCAACGGCGATTACGCGAAGACGCGTCCCCCGCCGTAGCTTGCCCCACCCAGCCCACCCTTTTCACGATACGGCGCGCTAGTGGTGCATCGACCACGTCGAGCATTCATATAGAGTCGGTCACAAGCTTGCATCTGCAAAGACGCCACAGAAAGATGAGCCATCTCGTTTCGGCGAAGAGGCTCTTCCTGGGGTCCGGAGTGCCCCGCTCTGACATCCACAAGCTATTAAGGCCTGTTGCTACCCTTATCCAATGCCTTCTGGTCGTCACGTCGCGAACATGTAGCTATGCCGAGATACGGGCCTTGGACCTGGTCACAGCCACATGGCCGTCACTACTCATATTTGATGGCGGATGATGGCGTCACAACGTTGGATATCTTATGGGCTGGTCCCGCAGAGGCCGCTGTTCCTCCAGCACCGGCCGCGACTACGTATGACAATAGACCCAGTGCGAGGTTAGTTCAGTGTCGCGCATACACCATTGATCTGAACATTGCCTGACCAAGACATAGTATACCCCGTACTGTTGTAAATCCAGCCTTCACGTCGCTGGCGACCCAGCCGCAAGCCGTTGCTTCCACGATCCAATGGCCTATAACTGTGCCCGGAACAAACAATGCAAGTGGAAGCAGTACTCAGCAATCTTCGTCGTACTATGTACCAGGAGAGAGTCGGGTAGACAATACCGGCGGCTCAGGGTTGAATTACACAACACAGCAGTACGGATCGCCAAGTCCGTCTCACGTTTCCGCTCATGCTTCGGCGACGACGATTTCAGCAGGCTCACCATGGCCACAGAAAGACCCCCAGGCTCATGACGGCTACCCTTTTAACTCTTTGCAGCAAAGTCAATCTCAGCACACAACACAAGATGGAGCGACCGGTCAGCCATCACAGTATCCAGGGCCACGCCGGCACGTAACGTCTCTGCCGCCTGACGTGCAATCTACTATTCATAGTCTCGATCGAAGATACATACAAACGAATCTCAATGAGAGCTTTGCTCAGGAACAACTAGATGCGAGTAAGTTAAATAAACCGCACAATCTGATCAATGAACGCTTACGCTTATAAGGATATCGACGGGTGGCGCAACCATCGCGTGCGACGTTCTTTGTACTTGGTCGAGTAAGCTCAACTCCCTGAGCAGTACCGATACAATACTAACCGTATGCTCTCAGGTCTTCAAGATGCTTTGGACGGAACCTGCCGGCCAGATGAACCCTGGAAAGACCCGCAACTCAACCCACTTCAGTACTGTGCAATATGGTGAGACGGCTTTTAGTGAAATACGCCGTTTCGTCGTTGTCCGTAACAAGGGCGAATTCAGTCAGTGCATGTACGTAAATTTCATCGAAAATTTCTGCCTTGGTATACTAATGTAACCCGTAGCCCTATACAAACGTATAGAGGTCGCGGCGCCGCGAAACCCGGTGTGAGGATGGGTGATCACGGCATCATTCATACTACGGTAGCCGCACCTAATCAACTTCCAGGAGAGGCTTTAACAAAATATTCCATCCAAGTCCAATCCACGGAAGGAGAATACCTTGAGCTGGAGAGTCGCGTCAATTACGGCAAGGCATACGCTGTTGAGCACAACGTCAAGGTGCTTGACGTAGGGATGGTGATACAAGATCACCGCTATCTCATTAAAGAATACTTTGATGCTGCGATGCAGGCAGAATGACGGGAACGAGAGCATGTGCCATACGCAGATTGACGAAATTTTCCTTTTGTAGTCAGGCTCTTTGTTCGCATTTCCTGTTTGGAAGCGCTGCACCATACGCAGTTCTCCAATCTCGTTTTCCTCATTTCATTCGGCTGATCTAATTTCCTACTTCCCTCCTTTAGTATAGGCGCATCGCGCGCATCCTTATTCTTGGCTTATCTCTAGAAATAAGCGGGGCCGAGCTTATGGGCTGAGTGTTAGACCAGTGTCGCTTCACCTTCGGGAAAGTTTGCAGGATGCCATATGCTGTCATAGTATGATAATGCCGTGCTTCACTTCGCATCAAGATGTTTTCACTTGCATCGTATCACCATAACACGCTGTATGGAATTTCCTGGATCGGCAAAGCTGGGTGACCGACGATTCGAGAGAAGCACTGCGTAGGCCGTGTATAGCGGGGTGATGTCATCCAGCTGTGTTGACACCGCAGCTTGCCCCACATTCCAAGGTTGTCTTGTGAGGTTTATCGATAAGCAATTGGACTGCGTCATGGGCCCGTGCCGAACGCGTCAACCAGGCAGATGACCCCCGACTTCTCGCTCACATCACTAAGTACCACCTGGGCATTATCGCAATCATCGCAATGGGTCACCAGGCCAGACACCCTATTATGCGTACCGGCTACCCTATATCATCAGCATACAGCCACCTTTTGAGCATACTGCACTAAAGTGAAATGGATGCGTTTTGGAGCAGATTTCGTAAACTGCGAAAGCACGGCACGAATAGGTATCAGCACGAAGCCATAACACACTGAACAGGCGAAATGGTATGATAACACGTCAACTCAGATCTATGAAGCCATGTCTGACACTTTAACTGGACGTTCGTGTTGTCTGCCCAATCTCTGCTGTCTCTAGTACCTACGGTAGCTGAGACCCATCACACCAACGCACCCACTATGGCTCCGCAGTGGCCCAAGATCCGCGCTTGCAACCCGAAGAGAGCGGAGGAAGAGAGTCGGCGCCATCGAGAAGAAGAGCCCGCTCAGTTCTTCCTACAGAACAAATTCGAGGACATTGTAGCTCGGGGGAGATGGATGAAGCTAAAAGTATGCATCGCGTCTTCCGAGTACACTGATTGCACCGCTAACATGCGCAGTCCGCGCCAGTCCACTGGCCAGCTGAGCTGGTTCGAAAGCACGTACATCCCTGTCATGTGTTGACCTCAGCGGTCATTGAGCAGTACAAAGCCATCAACAAAGTTTGGCTTCTGGATGCCAAGGAAATGACCGCCGACAGTCTCGAGTTCGTTGTTTATGCTGCCACCATACACGACAGCAAGTTGCTCGGCCGAGACCGACTGGAAACGGCGTGCAGAAGTATCCGCCATCATATCGAAATCGCGCTCCTGGTGTTACGACCACCAACGGAGCAGCGGGCAATCGTCCTGGATGTAGCGCCCGGCAGTATAGTCACTTTGAGAGCCCCACCCCCTGGATCGCGAGCCATCTTATCATCCCCACACGCGTCCCTCCCGTACAAAGCCAACTGGCGGTCTGTCGACCTGTCGACCTCTGTCAAGCAAGGAATTCGCAACGACCTAAACCACGAGCTCGTCCTTCTGCAGTACAAGGTCGGGCGATACGACATGTCCATTACGTTTGGCGCCCTCCTCCTCAAGGACATCCGCAATGAGCCCGCAACGCTCGCTGATGTCGGGATGAGACGCGACGCCCTGAACAGGCAGTAAAGGATAATCACCTCATTTTCCGACGGTGCCGGATACCGTGGGGCCTACGTCAATGCTAGACCCTCTACTTTGCGGCTTTTCATCTTGATGTAGGCTGCAGACCAACGTTTTATCGTGAGTTCTGGGATAATTAGTATTATTTTCGAGGTACCCTGGAGCCCACATCTATACCAAATCTTATACGTTGCAACGTTTTGTTGTGATGTAGACCACAGACTAGAGATTTCCTTGGACAATAATAACTACTTTGATGCTTACATCAACTCAGCATCTTCATAATTGCGTATCGCTGTTTCAATGTCGGCTCCGGGCCTGTTCGGATTTTCCATGTATCATGTGCCTTTGTCCGATTTCGAGCTCTACCCTTGGTGGTCCCTTGTTACTGACTTTGAATCCGGAGAACAAAGCCATACGGGCCGATGTTGCTAGCCTCCAGAGTGACAAGGACAAAGCCATCACCTCAAGTCAGCTGCCAACGACAACCTCTGGCTTGCCCACCTGCTCCAAGGAAAGGGCTACAATATCGATGTGACGCTTTTTTCTTATGAGAAAGCTGACAAGGCCCGCGAGTTGGCGAGGTTGCAACACGCGGCCGCCGCCCACCTGGTTCAAACGCACAAGGACGACGTTGCTGATACAAACCTGAGCTTTGACCGGAGCGATGACGCGGCTCGAGCGCTCGAGCGCTTGAACGCGGCGCGGTTGAGCGGATGTGCAAGGATATACTCGAGAAGATGAAGCGGTTCGCCGATCAAAAGTTCTCATTCAATGAGTTCATGCACGAGCGGACAAAGATCGAGATCGAGCGCCGAGTGAGTGCTGAACTAGATAAGCGCCTGCTACCGCACAAAGCCCACGAGTCGGAACTTCGAGAGCAGATCTATACCCTCGTCGACGCGAAGTACGACGATATCGACTCCACGATGGTTACCTTCATCAACACTGCCTTCGCAGACGGCGAGCGAATCGGCCGCGACATCGGCTTCAAGGCCGGCTTCCGTATGAAGAGGACCCTGGAGGAGCTTGAGCTCTCAGGCGGAAACGTCCCCATCAGCGTCTGCGAGCCTTGGATACAGGTTGCTGTCGACGATGCCGCCGCTATGAGCCTCGAGGCGACCCGCACGAAGCCAAATCCTATGCCGACAACATACGACCAAGCATGTGCCATCCTCAAGAAAGATATCGTCAAGCAATGATTGTGCATCAACGCTTTGGTCAAGTCGTTGTTGACATCCAACTTGGCCATGCGCCTCTTGGCAATCTCCCTGTCAATAGCCAAGTTGACGACGAACGGTCTAATGACCATGACGGTCTTCGTTCGACCCTGTCTGAAGGCTCTGCATATGGCCTGCCTCTCGTTGGACATATTCCACCATTCCTCGCACAAAACGACGATGTTGGCGGCTTTGAGATTGAGACCGACGCTACCGCACCCTGCGGTGATGAGCAGAATCTGCCACTGGGGGTCTTCCAACAACTTCGGCAACACGGTGCCATCGAAGCGGAGACATTCAACCTTGTGACGCACGCGTAATCCCTTGTTGATGATGTCGAGGTATCTGAGATACTGTGAGAAGATGATGATTTTATCTTCTGGCCGCTTCTTGATGAGGTTGTAGAGCATGTCGACCATAGCCGTGACATGTTTAGATTCGAAAACTTGCTCCTCTGACCAACTTCCAAGTTTCGCCAGCCACTTGTTTCTCAGTTCCGACGCCGAATCGTGTTCCTCGTGAATGAATGAGCTTAGAACTCTGGCGCTGATCGCTTCTGTCACGGCTTTGTTCTCTTCGTACCCTTCATCGACATCGTTCTCGGGATTCCAGGCAAGTCCCTCTGGGTCGTACTCATCGTCCGCAGTCGGGGCCTTTGCTTTGCCTTTACCCTTTGCCGCCTTCTTCAACGCCTTTTACTGCCGCCGGATGGCGTTTTTCTCCTTCTTCTCGTAGTCCGGGACTAGGAGCGGATGGAGGGAATAGACTTGGGCCTCAATGGCGAGGCCAAGCGTGCATTCGTCGTCATCACCATTGTCCGCAGTGTAATCTAGGTGTCGACCGCGTCAAGGTTTACAACGATACGGTAGCCGTCAGGCAGCACTCACGACCCAATGCCGCGTCCACATGTATCATGTCGCCGCGATCTGCCATTGAGCGATCTGCCATTGATAAAACCCCCAAGGACTTGCTTTGCTGCATCGTGGAGGCTCCAGCATCGTAACGGCTTCTCTATCTAGATCAACTGCCACGGGCGGTTGTGCTTCGGTCTCTTTGGCTGTCGTGCGGGGGTGGTCCTGGAGTAGCCTTGACTGCGACGCGTTGGTATAAATCACCCGAGCAGCATGAAGTAGGAAGACTTGCTCTTGACGGCTCTTGACGGCTCGCGTATGGGCTGGCCGAAATGGCCCTTCACATCCGTCGGGAAATCGCCACCGACGCCATTGCGGTGTTTCACCGCAAGAACATGAATAACACTGTTAAATCACTACTGCCTTATACTAGAGAACCCCTAAATAGATCTATAGACTACATTAAGATAAAAACTTCTAAAGTTAGTTACTTAATGCTAACGTAGGCTCTAGGCTGTTTAGTTTTTCTTTAGAATAGCGTGCTACACTTGTTACAATTATTACAATTATAAAAAAACATAAGATAAGATTAAGAATTTGCATTATTTGTAGCGGCTTTGTTCGCTCTATTACTAGATTTATTTATTACGTTCTAGTAGAGACAGCTTTATATAGAGTTAAGTCTAAGTTAGTAGAGAAGCTAGAGAGCTTTATATAGTAACAACCTAAGTAGTAGTAATAGCCTAAATAGTAGTAACTTAATAAGTATTATAATATAGAGCTATCTAGATAACTAGATTTATTAGTATATTATAGACTTTTGTAAGTAAGCTATAGTAACTTATAGTTTTCTCTCTAGTTTAGATATCTAGTGTTATTTAAATTTTCTCTTATAAAAGACTACTCTAAGGTTTATATACTCTATAAACGCTAGACTCTTAAACTAGAAGAGAGACTATACAGTCTTCTACTATAATAGCTTAGAGTTTAGTAATAAAAAAGTTATTAGATAAAAGATACCTATAAGTATTTATAACATAGCTTATAGATTACTATCTAGCTAGATAAGTTAGATCTTACTCTATTATTATATACTAGTTATTATACTAGGCCTATAAGACTATATTTTAGAGAGTTTACTCTATTTAAAAAAAGAAGTAAATACTCTAGAGTCTATATTAAAATAAAAGCTTATAAAGTTAATAGCCTAATAGCTTTATAAGCTTCTAGGTATTTAGTTTTTCTCTTATATAGAGTAGACTAGTAGTTAATAAATAGTAAGCTATAGGTAATTCTTAGTATTATTATTATTATAGAACGTACTTTTAGATACTTCTTAAGAGTATAGTATATAATTATACTAGTATAGATTAAGATAAGCTCTTAAAAGCTTTACTACTTAAAAAAGCTTTTTAAGTAAGCTTATAATATAATAATTTATTTTTTATTTATTTTTATACTTCTAGATATAATAGTTATAAGCTTAGTACTTTAAGAAAATAATATAGTTTTATATTTATATACTTAAAATATAAGGTATTTAATAGAGTATAGTAATACTAATTCTATTACTAATCTTTATACTTTTATAAAAGTACTACTTTATTACTTATAATAAGTAACTTTATAATAATCTTTATAAAAGCTTTTATACTTACTAACTTAGTATATTAGTCTAAGTAGTTTATTTAGTTTAAATTCTATACTCTAAGTAAAGAAATTTAAGCTAATATTAACTTTAATACTAAAATAGCTACTTTTATTTAGATAAGCGTTCTAACTACTCTAGAGCTAGTAGTAATTATATAGAATGCTTTAGTTAATAAGCTTTATACTAATAAGTATAATTTATTTATTATAAAGTATAAAGTATAAGTAATAAAATAGTAGTTAAAGAGTACTTATATTAGATATCTTTAGAACTAGATTAATTAAACTATTAGTTTAAAGCTTTTAGCTTCTACTATACTTTTTATCTTTATAAAGAAAGAGACTATATTATAAGTACTTATTAAATATCTTAAGTTTATACTTTTTTTAAAAAAAAACTATACTAAGAATCTTATATACTTATAGTATAAAGTATATCTCTAGAAAGTATAGTAAGAATATATTAACGCTAAGCGCTAGTAATAGAAATACTTTTATATTTTAGCTTAAGCTAAAGCGTATAAACTTACTAAAGTTAATAATATACTTACTATCTAAAACTATTTAAAAGTAATTAGTATTAAGCTTACTTTAGAATAGAAGCGCTTTATATAGTAAAACTTTATTAAAGCTTTTACTATTAGTAGAACTTAAGTTATTTTTAAATAAGTATTAAAGATTTTTACTACGCTAATCTAAGAGTATACTACTTACTTTACTAGTAAAAGTAGTATATTTACTATTATAGAAGTACTATAATAAGCTTTTAGTAAAAATAACTTAGCTTAAAAGTCTAAGAAGAATTACTTATATAGATAGTACTATAAGTAGTTTACTACTATATATAAGCGCTTAAAAATAGTACTTATAAAAAAACTTCTAAAGCTTTCTAATAAAGCTAAAACTAAGATTATTACTAAGCTTAAAAACTTAAAGTATAATAGCCTATAAAGAGCTCTTAATAAGAAAAGATAAAATACTTTATAGTAAGTATAAATTAAAAGCCTAAGCTTTATTTATTTAGAGTTAATTTAAATAATACTTATTAACTTTACTTTTATTATAAGTTAGCTAAGTATTAGTAGTATATACTTTACTATAAACTTTAATATCTACTTACTCTTTATAAGTACTATTCTAAATAATAAAGTAGTAGTATATTTTATTAATAATATATCTTTACTTAAGCTAAAGACTTTTATAAAAGTATATAAATTCTATACTATAAAAGTAGAAAGCTTTTTCTTCTAAGTACTTAGATATAGTATATAAAGAATTAGAAACGCTTTAACTAAAAAAAAAACTATATATAAAAAACTTTATTTTAATAAGTATAGCGCTTATAAAAAGTTTTTATATTAATATTATTTTAGAAGTAGCTCTTAATAAAGCTAGACTATAGTATCTAGAGTTAGACTTAACGCTTTATATAGAAATACTTACTAATAACTTTATACTAGTAAAGCTTAAGAGAGAGTATAAGCTTATATTTATTAAATATAATTCTTTAAAGTTTTACTTAACTATAATAAGTATAACTAATAACTAGCGCTTATAATAATTTTAAAAAAGCTTTTCTTAGTCTAATTTAGAGAAGCTTTAGTACGTAAGAGTAGGCTACTTAAGTTTAGAAGTACTTTAAGCTTTTATTAAGAATATATATAATATATATATTAAGAAAATAAGCTAAAGTAAGTATAAGTATTATACTATTACTTATATAAAGTAGTATATCTTTAGATAACTACGTAAAAAAGCTCTAAGACCTTATTAGAGAATTTTATAAAATTTTTTTAACTTTTTTACTAGTTATAATAGAAAGCTTTAGATTATAGTACTTAAAGATAATTATAGTAGTAAGATATATTAATATACTCTCTAAGCTAAAATACTTATAAAGATTATAAGAGTTTTTTATAACTTTATAAGCTTTTTTATAGCTTAGTATAAGCTTAATATCTATATTATTATTTAAGATAATAATATTATAATACTACTTTAAAAAAGTAAGTTACGCTTTAAGATATAAGCTAAAGAGTAAAGTATTATTATAAAGTATACTTTTATCTATACTTATAAACTAAATAGAGAAGTAAAGAAAGTAAGTTAGAAGATAATTACTAAGTCTATTAAGATAAGAGTTAGTATAAATCTTTTTAAAAAGCTCTAGCTAAATATTATAAAAGTAGTAACTTAGCTATATAATATAAGTCTATTATATACTTATAATCTCTTAGTATTTAATACTATACTTAATATATAGTATATAGAGTATAGTAAAAAGGTCTATACTATTATAGCTAATCTTTACCTAGATTAAAGTACTATCTATACTTATAGCTATAGAGCTTATCTACTTAATAGAGAGTAAGTAGCTAAATAAAATAAGCGTAACTTTAAAGTTATACTAAGAGGCTATATTAGATACTTAGTAAAATATAAAGTATTTAATATTTATAGAATATAGATTCTAAAGCTTAATTAAATAATTATAATAAGAAATATAAGCTTTAATAAAGAGCTTTTCTATAAAAGTAGTACTAAAGATAGCTAGAAGTACTTAGTAGAAGAGCTTACGTATATTATTAATTTTCTATATAAGAATAAGCTATATAATATAAAAGAAGTATATAAAAATATCTTTAACTAGCTCTACGCTATAGTAGATAAAATATAAGACTAGTATACTTCTAAAAACTCTATCTAGAAGCTAAAAAGTAGTATATTATAGCTTACTATTAAATAGACTAGCTAGCCTAATTAATAAGTAGTATATAATATATTTTCTATATAAGTAGAAAGCTTAGCTAGCTAACTACTAGAAATCTATATAGACTTTTAAGAGTATACTAATTTATTTACTTTAGAGTAAATACTAAAGCTTAGAGTATACTAGACTATAAAGTCTAGTTAAAAGTATAATAGTAGTATTTAGAAAGTGCACTAAACTAGAAAAGAGTACTTACTAGTACTAAGTAATAAATAGCTTTTTAATATAAAGAGCTTTTATTAAAATAAGATATATAGTACTTATTAAAATAGAGTATCTCTAAGTATACTATATTTCTATATATACTTTATATTTAGAACTTTTCTAAAATAAAGTAAAATAGAACTACTACTTACTTCTAGACTAATACGCTAAAGGCGTAATTATAAAGAACTAATATAGTTAAGCTTTAGAATTAGAGAGTAATATAAAAAACTAGAAGTAAAAGAACTAGAAGTTTATATACTATATAATCTATAAAATAGTATATAAAATAATAATCTTCTAAATAGTCTTCTCTAATACTTATATAAAGTAGAAAAA